CTGCAGCTTCACTAATAAGGAAGTAAGAACAAATCCCCTACAGCTTCTGTCCTCTGTCCGCCGAGAGGTCACCAGGAACGCCAGTGGAAAACCGGCCATACAAGGTGGGGTCAAAAATTGCTATGGCCGTTCCCTGGTCTGAGGTGGCTGTGGCTCCAGGGATCTCCACAGGGACTCTCTGGCCCTCTGGTTGTATCTCGCCCCCTTCTCTGGCAAACCCTGGGCCGGCCCTTTCTCTGCCGGGACAGCAAGGACGTCACCCACACAGCCTGTCTCATGACTGTGGTCAGCTAGCGGGGGGAATGGGAGTTTCATCTCCCCCCCCACCCCGGGCCTGGACGGGTCCTGAAGGCAGCCTGCTTTTCTTGCTCAGCCCCAAGGCCTCCACGGGGTGCCTGTCTTTCCCAGACTTCAGCAATGCCGACCTGTACAAGTTCGCCAGAAACCCGTCATCCTTATGTAATTATTTAACAATATCTTTTTGTAGATCCCCTTCTTATTCAATTTCAATAAGCTTATTTACTATGACACTACAAAGAGCCTCACTTTACCCATAAAACCATGGGCTTGATAGGTGACTTACAATTTTTTTCCCAACACTCCCCGCCCCCCAAAAATAACTAACTGTAACATTGAAAAAATGTTTTGGGTCCTGGCCAATGTGGCTCAGTTGTTTGGAGCATCATCCCATAGACCGAAAGGTCATGGGTTCGATGTTCAATTCCTGGTCAGGGCACATACCCAGGTTGTGGGTTCAAGGAGAAGGCAACCAATCTCTCAATCTCTCTCTCTCTCTCTCTCTCTCTCTCTCTCTCTCTCTCTCCCCCCTCCCTTTACCCCCCACCCTCCCAAAAAACTGAGGATAAAAAAATGTTGTGGGACTGAGCTAAGTGCATTTTGCATACACACACACATACACCCCCAGGAAACTTTCTACAGAAAACACTTGATAAGTATTTCTTATATAAACTAATGATTTGCAGCACCACTTTTCCCCCTATAAGAGCAGCAGCCACAACCAGCCATTGAATTGTGCCTTCGATTTTACATAGCAGTTCTTCTTCTATCTTATTTGACCCTCTCAACCACCCAGTGGAGCAGGAAGTATTATTCTCTTTTGCCAGATAAGGAAATGAGGAGTCACACAGTTTAAGTGAATTGCCCAAGTTTATGCAGCCACTAAGCGGCAGAGCCCGAAGTCGAACCCAGGTCTTCCCACTCAAGACCCCGCTCGGTCTCCACTAAGGCAGGCCTACTTTGTAACCTCAGGCTACCAAAGAGGCATGAGCAAGGAAGAGAGTCCCTTGGTTGTCCATGTTACAAATGGCATAGATGGTACAGGGTTTAAGATGCAGAGAACCCAGAATGACTCCCAGCCCCATCAGGGTTCAAGCCACAAGCCTGTCCTCTGCCACAAACATGGCATCTCTTACTTGTATGCTGAAGGCCTTCTCTAAAACACATGACTTCTCACAGCACAGGACAGTAACCTGGGCCATGGAGACATGAGGCTTGGCTCTGCCGCCTACTACTTATGAATCTTCGGGAACTTCTGAACCTCAGTTTGCTCTCAGATAAAATGGGAACACGACAGCACCCACCTCTTACTATTTCTGAAACGATCAAATGAGGCAATGCATTAACACCCTTAGCACAGCGCCTGCCACGTGTAATGCTACCTGTTAGTTACAATATTACCAACAAACAGCGTTTTGTTAGAAGGGAGATGCACAGAAAATTGCCTCTTACGCTGCACTCAAAATAATTCCCTTGACCGAGCAGTGAATGAACTAAGAAGTCATTGCTGATGATGGGCTGGCTAAACCCAGGCCTGCCGTCACTCCGCAGCTCTGCCTGGGCCTCAACCCCAAGCGAAAATTACTTTTAGGAGCTAAATAACCTCTTTGCTGACCAAAATTACTCACTCGGGAGCCAGGATTCATTCTGCCTGCTAAGGAAGGCTTGGGTGTTCCGCGGTCGTCTTCATCATGGGGCTGAACTTGAAGTCAGCTCAAAGTCACAGTCTAACCATAAACCAATTTGCTCTGTTTTCTTAAACTGTCTGCAAACAAAACATAACCATTTGGTTTTTCCGTTGTTGTTCTGAAGCAAAACAAAAATATTTAAAGTCACCCATATGAGAATTTAACAAGCAATATAAAGAGGAGTCAAAATATTGTTCGAACTGTGGATGAAGCAGGTAGGTAAGCAGGCTCAAGGATTAGCTATAATACATAATGAATACAAACAGTTGTTATTCCCCAGTAAACAAGAAAGCAAAGAAAAAGCAAACCCACGACATGATAAGACCAACAAAACAGCTGTCAGTCACCAGCTTTTTTTTTTTTTTCTTTTTAAAGCACTATCCAGCTGATTTCATAAAGAATCTGTCAGGACTACATTTCTCAAGGGGGGGGAGGGGGAGACTCGCTTTGTCACACTGCCTAAAACATACACATAAACCAAAATTAGTGTGCAAAAACACTGAGAATGGGTGGAGTCCGACACTGCAACCAGCAAAGTCCTCATGCTGGAATCATCTCCCACCGGCCTTCCCGTCCTGGGAATGAGATGCCGGGGTCAAAGATTGCTTTCCCCACCCTCCCAAGCACTGAGACCTCCGGCATCCCCAGCTCCCAGCTTCCCCGCCAGTCCTCATTCATGCCTCAACAGAGCTGCGTCTTTTGTGCGACTCGCCCATTTCCTTAACCGGCTAGAGTTGATTCCTTTCTAAAACACACACACTATCCAAGCCACACAAAACCAGTCCAGCGTTGAAGAGGTGGTCAAATACCTACGCCCACATTTCCCAAATGCACAAGCTTCAGAGATCTCAAAGACGGCTTCTAATTTCAAGTATGATTTGATGGGGAATGACAGTTTACACCCAGTTTCAGGAATACATGCAATGACGTAGGCCAGTACCTAGAGCTAAAAGAGCAAAGTGAAAATACGGCATGCACACAAAAAGCATCATGAAAATACAAGGCACAGGCAAGCGACACAGGCTCCAGTCTCAGCATCGGCACCGTGTTGCCGGGTGACCTCAGCCAGGGTCACTGTCTTCTCGGGGCCTCAACATCCTCATCGAAAAGAAATGAGGGGTTTGGGTTGCCTCAAAAGACTGGTCCAGCTCAAAAACGCCAAACGCATTGATTCCCTGAAATATCCAGTATCCAAATGAACTGCTAAGTGTGGATCTGAAGATCCTTTTCCAGAGAGCCCTTTAAAGTTCCTATTTTATAACGTATCCAAAAGACGAGAAATAGAGTCCTCTTGCGTTTCTGCAGAATAAATTAGAGCGGAAGGGAATATCTGAATAGGGGACACGTGTGGAGTGGCAGGCACTATGCTACTGAAATTCAAGAATGGACTGGGCGAGAAATAAATGTACCCAAGAAATTTTTCACTGATTCAAAGCACAGCTAACCACCACCACGACCGAAGCAAAGATATATAAAAATAATATAATAAACCATACATGTACCAAATTAAACTAAAGATAGGTGAGGACCAAATATTTCTTTAGGATAAACTTTGGTGCAAGAGTTCTTCAATTACGAGGGGGTTTTGTTTTGTTTTGTTTTGTTTTTTAATCTCACAGACTGCTCTCCGGGAGCTTCCTTGCAAGAACAGGGAGAAAACAGTCACATACACACTGTACCTTCACGATAATGCCATCTGGACACGCTTTCATGTCTACAACGCTCTGCAGACGTCGGGCAGGGGCGGCCCCCAACAGTCTATAGGGCAGGTGGTAGTACGCCCACGCGACAAACGCTGGAAACCGAGCGTGCGGGAGACTGGAGAGCCAGTCCAGCCCTGCAGCTTCTTCGGACACCTGATCCAATATTCTCTGCAGGAGGTCACGCTGCCTCCCAGGCCTGCTGGGGACGACGGTGAGGGGACATCAGCACCCAGCGCTCCTCCTCCGCCCGCCGGCTGGGCTGCCCCGCTCCCCAGAGCTGATGTGCGTGAAAAGTTTTCCCTGAAACCAAATCCCATCCTCCGTTCACAACTCCCTTCCCAGGTTGCAAACATCCTCATCCCCTTAGGGCTCCTGACCGTATAAAACAAGCAAGATTTTCATGAACAAAACGCACAACAGGGTATCACCAGAGCCCTGTCCACAGCGGGTTCAAGACCCGAGCGGGCTCCTAGAAGGCGGCGAGGAAGCCGCGGGCAGGGCTGGGCGCTCAGCTCTTTCACTTCTCTCCCTCCAGTTCCCTCTGCGAACTGGGCAGCCTCCCAGCTGCCCTGCCTCCCCCAGGGGGAAGAGCACCAAGGGGAAACGGACCCTTCAGAAAGCTCGGTCCCCAAAACGCCAGGCGCAGCATTATCTGGAAAGCGAAGCGAGAACACAGGGCGGAGGGGGCGAGCCGGCGCCCACCGAACACGAAGTAAACCCCCAGGGAAGCGAGCGGCGTCCCCGGCAGGAGGACCGTCCGCGGGAGGGACCCTGCATGCAGCCCCCTTGCCCCGGGGTGGGAACTTTCCCCAGGAGCGGTGCCCTCGGCCCGGAGGCCCCGCGCCTCGCCCCCCGCCCGGCGACTCGGCCCCCGGCCGTCGCCGCTGCCCTTCGGCCCAGCCCCTCGGGCCCTACAGGCCGGGTCGGCCCCGCTCCGCGCCGGGCGCCCTCATCACACACGCCCCCTCCGGCCGCCTCGGGCGGGCGAGCCGGGTCGGCAGACTGAACCAGCTGCGGGAAGGGCGGGCCAGAGACGGCCTGGAGTCCACGGGGGCGTCCAAGGGAGGCTCCGGGCACCCTGGGACCCCGGAGCCCGCCGCCTGCCGCCCGCCCTCCGGTGCCGGGCAGCCGGGTAGCCGCCTCGCTCACCGGCCTGCGAGGCCGGCCGGTTCCCGCGAGCCCTCCAGGAGGGGCTCCCTAGGACTCGGGCCCTCGCGCCCCCCCAACCCTGCAAGCGGGCACCGCGGGCAGGTGCCGGGGATGCCAGTCTCGCCCCGCCCTGCCTCCCCCGTCCGGGCCCCAGGCCGCTCACCTGGCCCAGGCGACACAGCAGCAGCAGCGGCGGCAGCGCCCAGCGCAGCCCGGGCGAGCGCCGAGGTGGCCGCGCCTCCCGCGCCGCCGGCTTCATGCCCCGCGCGCTCTGGAACGTGCCCGGGCCGCGCGAGTCGGGCCCCGCCGTGCGCCCGAGCCCGGGCGCCCAGCTCGCAGCCTCCAGCCGCCGCCTCCGCCTCCGCCTCCTCCAGCCGGTCCGCCTAGTCCCCGCTCCGCCCGCCCCGGGCTTCCCCGGGGACATGGCAGCAGCGGCGGCCCCACGGCTGGGCCCGGCGCGGCGGTCGCGGAGGGGACCCGTCCCTGGGCGCGCAGGAGCTTCGCGGGGCGGAGCAACCGGCGCCCACCCCCCGTGCGCGGCGACGGGATCCCGGCTCCCGCGGCTCCGGCGGCTCCCGCTGCCTCCTCTGCGCGTCATGCGGCTCCGGCTGCAGGGAGCCGCGGCGAGCGCTCCCGCCCTTTGCTCCCCTCCCCCTCTGAATATTCATCGCTTCCTCCCGCCCGGCCGGCCCGGCGGCGGCCGAGCCCCGCGGCCCCTCGCCGCCCTCCGCGGCAGCCCCCGCCCCCGCGCAGCCAGCCGGGCGGTGGGGAGGGGGCAGCGGCGCGCCCCGCGCGCGCCTTGGCGGCTCCCCTCCCGCGGGCAGAGGAAGCGCCCCCGCCTTGCCGCCTTCTCCGCCTGGCCCTCCCACATTCCTGGGGCTGGGGACCCGGGACCCGGCTCCGCTGCTCCGCGCCGCGAGCCCGCACTCCTCGGTACGGGCGCCCCAGCCTCGGTCCCGCTCCCTGGCCCCGGGTTTTGGGTCACCAGATGCTGACCGAAATCTCTACACAGGGCACAAGCCAGGCCTGCGTTTAGGCAGCAACCCGGTGAAGGCCTGGCTGACCTGGCCAGTGGGTGGTCTTGGGGTTCTTGCACCCCTGAATTGTAGGACACAGTGCTGTGTGCTGTGTTCTCCGCGCCCCTATCCCCGGGCCAGGGAGGCAGAGAGCCGGCATGGGAGCGGGTCCGGTGGTTAGGACCCCAGCTCTTGCATATGGTGCACCTCTGGCTCTGCTGGTGCTGCTAGCTGCATGGCCTGGGGACAGGCATTTCACCCCTCTGGGCCTTCTTTCCTCATCTGTGAGATAAACGTACCAGTGTCCGGCTAGAGAGACTTGATGGGTAATGGAGGGGAAAGTCCTAAAGGCTGGCAAGTTTCATCACGCTGCCAAAGAAGTCCACGGCCCTGAAGGGGTTAAAGACTCCTTCAGATGTTACTATGGTGCCCATGCACAGAGGAGAAAACTGAGGACCCAGCGGCTAAGCCAGTTGCCCAAGAACGGTAATGAGAGAAGGCCAAACCGAGGAGTGCAGGAGGGAGAGATGAATTCCAACCAGGGAAAGGGGTGACACCTGAGCTGGGGCTTTGAAGGATGGGTTGAATTTCACCAGGCAGATAGAGGGGGGCAACGTCTCAGGAAGTGGGAGCAACTTGGCAAAGCAACAGAAGGTGGATGCTTCAGGCTTGGCCTTCTGAGAAGCAGGGACTGGGAGGGTGGGGGGTTCGCATCTGGGGGAGATTCTGAAAGCTGAGGATAATTAGTCTGGGGGTAGCGTGTCTATGCGGAGGGTGCAAACCATCAGGTGACTAATACAGTTACCCCTCATACCTCCGGGGCCCCATCTGTGAGATGGGGCGGCACCTGCTCTGAAAGGATCTAAGCAGCTCTCACCCGACTAGCGGCGAAGGTAAGGGGACCCACCTGCTGACTGCCACCTTGCCGTCTTTTGTGTAAACATGATGTAATCGTAATTCACAAGGAATCCTGTTGCTCCCTGCCTCCTCCCCTTCTTGGGCAGAGACAGGTGGTTTGAAAGGCAACTGTGTTCACGATGCCCAGAAGGAAGGAAAGCTGCCAGGTCTGCAGGCGCCCGGGCTGCCCCGATACTCACAGGCCCTGCAGACCCCACATGCAATGATGAGATGCAACCCTCGTCTACAAGGGGCTTGCTGAGAGTCCAGTGAGGAAGATGGTCAATTAGGCAATAACAACATCGTGTTAGATAAGGTTCCACAGGGGGACCAAGGAGACCATGGAGCGGGGTGTGCACCGGTTCTTGGGCAACTGGCTTAGCCGCTGGGTCCTCAGTTTTCTCCTCTGTGCATGGGCACCATAGTAACATCTGAAGGAGTCTTTAACCCCTTCAGAGCCGTGGACTTCTTTGGCAGCGTGATGAAACTTGCCAGCCTTTAGGACTTTCCCCCTCCATTACCCATCAAGTCTCTCTAGCCGGACACTGGTACGTTTATCTCACAGATGAGGAAAGAAGGCCCAGAGGGGTGAAATGCCTGTCCCCAGGCCACGCAGCACCAGCAGAGCCAGAGGTGCACCATATGCAAGACTGGGAAGATCCACCCCGTCTTCCACGGCTTCGTGGCAAACAGCTCTGGGGACTCTCGCATGCACTGTGGCTTCCTCCTGGATGTAGTGGAAGCCCACATGGCAGTGGTGGTGGGAACGGGACTTCCCCGCCACAGGGCGAGGAAGGAGAACACACAGCCTTTTCAGTAAAAGGAGTTAAGTCCTGAATAGTAAACTACCTGTTCAGTCCTCAACAGACTACACTGGCTTGGTGGCCCAAAGGAGGACAGGAGTTCATCCTGAAGAGGCGCAGGGTGAACTCGCCGAGGGCGAGGGCTGGCTCTTCTCACCCCGGCCACCCTGCCTCACCTCACCGTGCCTTGCCGCGAGCAGGAACTCAAAGCCTGTGCCCGCTGCACACTGTACAGAGGCACCCAGGGGAATCATGATGTGAAAGTTCATTTTTCTGCCAGGACAAATTAGGGAAGTGTCATTCGTTTTGGAAAAAAAGAAAAAAAAAGACAGAGAGAGAGACTTGACTCCAATTTATAGGTCTCTTCCTCAGACATTACTTGCCCTGGGACTTCCTAGATGCCCCAAACCCCGTGTTGGGTGCACACCCCCCTCCACGATCTCCTAAGTCCCCCTGTGGGAACCTTATCTAACACGATGTTGTTACTGCCTAATTGACCATCTTCCTCACTGGACTGTAAGCAAGCCCCTTGCAGACGAGGGTTGCATCTTATCATTGCATGCCCAGCATATAACAGTCACCCAAACAATATTATTTAGTTGAATTACATGCATTCCTTTGAATTGCAAGCTGAGACATTGAATATATGTCTGTTCTCTTCCCCCACCATCTCTCTCTCTCTCTCTCTCTCTCTCTCTCACACACACACACACACACACACACACACACATTCCATTTGCAAACAACTTTTCAGGGATAAATCTAGGGTGCAAAGTTCAGGGCACATTCTCTGAGAACATAATGTATAATGACATTTGACCTTTTGATCATGTCCACCTTCAAGCAAAAGCTAAGCTTTGCTGAATACGAGGCCAGGTTCATAGGGAAGAAAAGAGACAAACCAACCGGTTGGAATGAAGGGTTCCTGGATGTGTTCCAAAGGTACCTGATAGGAATTACCCCGTGGCTTGTTCTAATACAGATTCCCATTGTTTTCTATAGACTATGGAGGATGGGGCCTGGGTATACATGTTTTTATCTATTTTACTCCACCTCCTTGGGTCATTCTTGTTGTGAAGCAGGATTGGAAAACACTGTTCATTCTATCATTGGCCTGCGTGGTCTCCCCCATAGAAATAAAGACCATTGATCAGGCATGTAGTAGGTGCCCGGCACTACTCTATGTCCTTTCCTTTAATTGATTCTACTCCTTACAACAACTCTGTAGAATAGGGATCACTATCAGTATTTGACAAACATGGAAGGTGAGTCTCAGAGAGATTTAGTGACTTACACAGGGTCCCAGAGCCTCAGGGTGTCAAAACCAGGATGAAACCATGTCCTTCTTGCCATTATGCCATGGTGTCCCTTCCCCTTGATATTTGTAGGTAAGTTAATATAAAGTGCTCTGTGTGTTGGCCATTATTATTACCTTTATTATTACTCTCCTGAGCCTCAGTTTTCCCAATTTTAAAATGGAAAGGGAAAGAAAATACAAGACTTTCTACTTCATCCCCCAAGAACGAGGAACAGGCAGACAGCCTTGTCTAATGGCACGTCCACTATCCCACCAGGAGACGGGAGTGCGGGACGCCAGCCTGGAACCGGGTCACCAGCCCCGCAGGGAGTCCATTCAGCCTGGCAACCCTCAGTTTATTTTAAAAGCCACCATGAGCAAACCATTCTCCAAAGCCCTCCTAAGCAGAATGGAATGTTTCTTGGGAGTCTGATTAGCTAATGTCACAGGCATGGCTGCCCTGAGACCTTCCTGCCTCACAGATTTGAACTGAATCAGAATGGAAAGGAAGACTTAGTTCTTTATTTAAAAAAAAAAAAAAAGAAAGAAAGAAAGAAAAGTAGCACTTCATCTTTATAATAGTAACAGGATGTTTCCTGTGGACTAATAGCTGCGCTGTGGTTAGAACTCCATGCTTGTCCACCAGACCTCAGTTCCTCCCTAAACAGAGTCTTAATCACCTGCCTGTGCACAGAGCCCGGTAGACCTTGGCCATGCCTTTTCTGTTTCTCCAAACATTTGCAACATTAAGCATTTTCCTAATTTGTGTGTGTCAAGATAGAAAACAAAGTTTCACTTACAAAGAAACAATTGCACCGGACAGATGTTCAGTGCAGGAATGGAAGCCTATTGTAGCCGGCTCAGGGTCCGCAGAATGGAAACAAAGCCATTAACCTCCAGCGTCCTGCCCTTTCCCAAGGTCAGATCCCCACCGGGATGGGTCCATGCACCTCTGCGCTCACAGCTGTGAAGCTCCCAGTGAGCCCAGAACCTCTATGTTCTGGCTAGACAGACCCAGGGCCCATGGTTTTAGGGCACCTGGAAGCACAGGGAATGTGTGACGAGGGGACCTAGGGGACAAGGGGCTTTTGTCCAGGACCTGAGAACAACTTCTGCACAAAGACCAGAAGCGGCAGGCAGGGGGCAGGAGACAGCCGGTCAAGCCTGCAGCAGAAACATCTCCACGAACAAAGGAAGGGCTGAGGGGTGTAAAGACAAGGGGGAGAGAGAGCAAGAGGCCCAGAGGCCCAGGGCTTCTTAGTGGCTGGGTCCTTCCAGGCTTGTTAAAAATAAATTAATTTTGTTTGGGTTTGAAAAGAATTGTTCTCCTTTTTTTTCAGGTCAAAAAAATTCTTAACCACATTGTGCTGGCTCTATAGAACACCTGGGTAAGAGTTAGGATAAGAAATGTACTTGTAACAATTGTGAAGTAGAATCTTGTCAGTAGGGAAGAAAATGCCCTGCAATCTAAATAAGCAAATCAAAATCATATATGGGAATACAGCTACGTTATGACATATAAGTGGTATATGAATGCATATGAACATACATGCATATGTCATATTCTACTGATATGTGCATGAGC